GTCCATATACTAGTTTATAGTCTAGTCGAATGACCCAACTTTTAAGCTAGTCCATAGATTACTTTATAAACTAGTCTATCCATAGACTAGTTTATAGACTACTCCATAGACTAGTTTATAAATTAGTCCAAAGACTAGTTTATATACTAGTCTTTATACTAGTGTATAGTCTAGTCGAATGATCCAACTTTTAAACTAGTTCATAGATTACTTTATATACTATCCCATAGACTTGTTTATACACTAGTCCATATAGTAGTTTATAGACTAGTCCATATATTAGTTTATAGTCTATGTAGTCGAATGTCCATAGACTTGTTTATAGACTAGTCCATAGACTAGATTATATACTAGTCCATAGACTAGTATATGGACTAAGTCATTCGACTACATAGACTATAAACTAATATATGGACTAGTCTATAAATAGTCTATATATTATAGACTATTTCACAGACTAGTAGGTAGACTAGTCCGACTATTCTTATTCCTAAAATGTTCGGTTAAAATAAGAACTAGACAGTAAAAACTTGGTAATGGCTTTCAATTACCTAACAACATACTTTTCAATGACTACTACATATCGTCTGTATTACAAAGAAGTAGTATAATAAGGTCTTACTAATAATGTATTATTTAAATACTTTCTAATTCATTAGTCATCTTTCCAGTGATGATATAAAAGCTGTATACGTTTTTTTTTCATTTTTTTAATTACTTGTAATCAATTGTGGGAAATACTTGCCTCCAATGACATCACCCTTACATGATAAGGGGGTATGTATTTCAAAATGTCAGTTTTTCATGCCTGCTTCACATGATTCCAAACTATCATATCTTTTCTTGGATCCACCCTAATAATATATGTTCATTGTAATATTTTATGTATATTATTTTTGAAAATATACCACAACTATGTTAGGTTTGCAAAATATATATATATATAACAAATTTGTCATAATTTTATTTTCTAATGGATACTTTATATGGGGGCTTAGATTCAATATATCCCTATTCTTATAAAATTTGACAGAATGGTTTTAGTTACTATAGAACTAGTTCATGTCGAATTTCATCGCTAAACCAGTATTATTAAGCCGGTTATTGGCGTTAAAGTCATTTTCTAAAGGGCACCTTATCAATTAATTGACAGATGGTTCGAAGTACATAGAATATATCATTTCGGATATGAAAAAAATCGGATTGCCTACTTTAGTTTAATCAGTTTAATTTGCATTTTGCCCCAAGCCCCCATTGTGCATGGTATTTAAATTAATTTTATCAAACTTTAATCAAACTTTAATCAAATTGAAAAACATGTTACCATTATAAATATTTAAAGGATTTATTAATACAGATAGCTATTAATAAATTGTTCTAATATGGCCTGATATTTGATGGTCATAGCGGATAGCATTAGTTTGGAAAATACTAATACTGATTTTTTAATTATATATTCGTTATAAACAAGTTATATAGAAACCATTATCACTCTAACAAATTTTATGGTTATCGTTCAGTAATTGATCCATATAATGCATCTTACGAAATCTTATGGATGGAATATACAGAAATTCTGTTAAGCTGATGAATCCTTATACTGCACTAAATACAATAAAATACTGACGAATACAAACTGGGATTAATCAGAGCCCTTTACTTAAAAAGTACAGGCAAAAGGAAAAGCGAGCAACAGAAAAAGGGGGGGGATCGTGAGGGAGGGACCGAGGCGGGGAAGCAAACTGGGAGGGGGAGGAGCGAAAGGCAGGGGCACAAAATAGCCAGAATACAGACAGACAGCCAGGCAGACAGACAGACAGACAGACAGACAGACAGACAGACAGACGACAGACAGACAGACAGACAGACAGACAGAAGACAGACAGACAGACAGACAGACAGACAGACAGACAGACAGACAGACAGACAGACAGACAGACAGACAGACAGACAGACAGACAGACAGACAGACAGACAGACAGACAGACAGACAGACAAGACAGACAGCAGACAGACAGACAGACAGACAGACAGACAGGACAGACAGACAGACAGAAGACAGACAGACAGACAGACAGACAGACAGACAGACAGACAGGACAGACAGACAGACAGACAGACAGACAGACAGACAGAAGACAGACAGACAGACAGAAACAGACAGACAGAAGACAGACAGACAGACAGACAGACATACAGACATAATACAGACAGACAGACAGACAGACAGAAGACAGACAGACAGACATACAGACAGACATACATACATACATACAGACATACATACAGACAGACAGACAGACAACAGACAGACATACAGACAAAAGACATACATACAGAAACAGACAGACATACAAAATACAGACAGACATACATACAGACATACAGACAGACAGACAGACAGACAGACAGACATACAGACAGACATACATACAGACATACAGACAGACATACAGACATACATACATACATACATACATACATACATGCAGACACATACATACAGACATACATACAGACTACATACATACATACAGACTACATACATACATACATACATACATACATCAGACATACATACATACATACATACATACATACATACATACATACATACATACATACACATACATACATACATACATACATACATACTTGTTTTCGAAAAATTCGTGATATTTTGAAATCACTCAGTCGCCACTAGGGATGCCAAACGGGACTGGCTTTTACAAATCCCGGGATTCGGGATTTTTCGGGATCCCGGGATTTTTCGGGATTTCGGGATTACATAAATTTAATTATTTTATACATGAAAATCTTAAATCTTCATGTTTGTGAAGAAAATTTTTTAATCTTGGAAATTAAACGACAGAAGATAAATTTAAATTAAAGCAATCCAATTAATTCAAATTCTTAAAAAAAAGCTTTTAGAATATCATAATTTCAGAAAGTATAGTCGGACATGGCCGACTATATGAAACCCTACACCATGGGTATATTTTAAAAACTATTTATTTTTCATAAAAAATTTTTTGAATTTTACATTAATTCCGATGTATTTAAGCAATTTATTGATAAAAAAACTAAATTTCTAAAAGAGGCTTTATATGGGAGCTAGGGTCAAATATGGGCCGATCCTCAAAAAATTGGGAAGAGGGATGTAATTTTATATAAAGGTTATTATGCTGAATCTCATCGCGATACTAATGGTTATAAGTAAATTTTTGGACGTTTAAGATGTTTTTTAAAAGGGGTTTTAGGGTCAAACGGGTTAGACGGCCGACTCAGAAAGTGATTCTGAGTCTATCGGTATACTTTAAGGTGGGTGTAGGACAAACTTCAGCAAAAATATATAATACCCTCCCCACTGTAGTGGTGTAGGGTATAATAAATATAACGTTCAATCCTTCGAATATCAATTTAGATCACAAATGAACCTTTTCTTTGGAAAATTCAGAACAATTTAATTTACCTTTACCGTTATCACTCAGATTCGTAGAAAGCTTGAAATGCAAAACCTTCTAGATATCATTTAAAAAATAAATTTTATATTTGACTGTGCCGAAATAAAATAAATATTCCGGTATGTGATGGAATTCGATCGATTTGAAATCAATCGATTTGAAAAGGTATGATGAATTTCGATCGAGGAATGGTTTATTATTTTCTTGCAAAAAACTACGCAGACAACAATATACTTTCCATTTAAGAGAATCAATTTAAAAAAATTATATTTTGGAAATTACAAACGGAATGACAAACTTATATATACCCTTCTCACGAAGGTGAAGGGTATAAAAATATGATAATTTGTATGAAAAGCCGCAGAAATTGTATGTATTATTTTTGTAGTTTCAAATCGATTCTATTTTAAAAATGAATTTCATCAAATAGCTGATTGTAATGTATTGATATTAATATTGGCATCAAATTGATTTTTAGAGGAGGTCCTTTTAGGATTTCTTGTGTTAATTATGGTCCAAATTTGCGGCCTAAATAGAATGAGTCTACTATAGACAAAGAATGTGTATACTTTTTGAGTCTACGACGAAATGAAAAAATAAATTTGTATGTACTATATATGATATCATACCACAAGATTAGCTGTGCTGAATTTTGTTCTGCATAAGTCAAAAATAAACTAAGATCGTAATTTTAAAGCGTATTATGGCTCAAAAAAGAATTAAAAAAAAATTTTAGTAACAAATCCCGGGATTCATTTTGAAAAATCCCGGGAATCGGGATATCCTAATCCCGAAAAAATCCCGGGATTTATTTTGCAAATCCCGGGATTCGGGATTTTCTAATCCCGGGATTTTCGGGATTACGGGATTGGCATCCATAGTCGCCACTAATTTTGAGTAAAAGAATTTTTCACCAAGTATATACGAAATGAGATATTTCATAATGTTTAAAACTCCGAATTATTCAATGCCTTTTATTCCTTATACATCAATAAATCTGTAATTTATCCTGTCTGTTCTGTAAACCGTATCCGAGTAAATTTCTCGTTTAAAAACGAATTCTCATAATTTTTCTCGTTTTATAACCGAGTACACAAATCTAGTCGAAATTAAATCGATTTTAATCTTATTCAAATAAATTAAACAATTATTTTTTGCGTTTTTTAATATAATTGTAACCTTATATAAATGCTATGGTCATTTTAAAGTCTTTTTCATTTAAAATATTATTATTTTTCTGAATTTTACGTTCAAATAAAAATTCGATTTGCAGAACACCAAATTCGGTTTTAAAAGCTTCTCAGTTTAGAAACCGAATCGATTTACAGAACAGACATGTATATCAATTATAGGAAAGTTTTTCAAATGGTTCCAAAAAAGTTATAGTACCAATGCCAAAGAACTAGTTCTTTAAAAAACGATTTCCAGAAGTAATAATGACATCACTAGCTCTAACGTGGCTGTTTAAAATTTGAAGTGGTTCTGTTACTACTTACAAATATCATGCAATTAAAATTCCTTTATACTTAACATAAATTTAAACAAGATCTACTTTAGCCTTTTATTTTTCTTTACAAAAAAGTCAGTTGTTATAATAAATATTATTGAAATATAAATTAAGTGTCATACTTTTATTATCTTTCTGTATTTGCAAGTTGTCTTCTTCACTTTTCTGAAATTTTTCACTTAATTCCTTTAATTCGTCTAACCGTTTTCTTTGCATTTCCATTTCCTGTTCTAAAGTTTGTTGTTTTTTTAATTCCAGTTCAAGTTGTTCTTCTAACTCTCTCTGTTGATCAATCCATTGTTTCATTTGCTCTTCTTGGCTCGTTAATTTCTGTTTTAGATTCTCTTGGTTTACAAGTTCTATTTGTAAATTTTCATTTAGCTTATCTTGCTCTTGTAAGTTTTGTTCTTTAAGCTTTTGTAATTGATCCTCGTATTCTTGTTTTTGATTTTGTAGTTCATTCCGAAGTTTAAGATTAATTTCTCTCTCAGTTTGTAATATTTGTCGTATATTTTTCACGTTGCTATATTCACATGCGAAACCATTTCGTGATAAACATTCATAGTTACGCCATTTCCAATTAAAGATTCCCACAATTTCAAGACAAGATTTTGGATCTCTATCGTTGGGGAAATCACTAAACCAATTGGTGTAAGTAAACTTTTCACCAGTTGAATTCCAAACGAAATTTTCTGCCGGAAGTTTCTCACGAATGCCTCCAGTCCAAAGATATTTACCATTATTATTTTCTTCACCATTATCAATCAGCTTAATTAGTTCCAAAGATTTTTCTTTCGTTTTAATTTCTACTAAAATCATATCCCGTTTTGAGCATTCATGTTGACTTTCGAACCAAGTAAACTAAAATTATATTTTTTTAAATTTCACTTTGAAAATGTTCAGTTAAAGGTTGAACTTTATTTAAGTACCCTATTCTCAAATTCTATATAATACTCGTGATCTGTTTCCGTTGTATAAATCTGGCCAATAGCACATATGTGAATAATTTTTGAAAATATTACGCTCACAAAGATTATGTGAACGAAATCAATATACATTTTAATAGTTGTTTGCTCTTGGACTGATCTTAAACACTAAATGATTTTGATTGAGTTTTGTATTTTATATATGTGGTAATATTTAAAAGAATAGGAATGCACTGTGGTTCAGAATGACAATTGTTTTGTAATAAATTGTTAATTTTTTGTTTCATGTGTAATGTGTAATTATTATGTAGGTACTATATTAAAATTGTCAAGTAAGAAATCCGAACATATGATACTGCCAGTACAAAGTATTTTTCGAAATCAGGCTTTATATGACAGATATGACCAATTAACAATCCATCATTAATATTTTTGGTGATTATTATTTTTTACTAAATTGTCTCTTTGTAATCAATTTATTAAGGTTAAACATTTTTTTTCAATTAATTTATGTCTAATTATGGACCGATTGGGCGATTATGCATTATAATATATAATTTTTGTGTTTAGGTCCACTTATACATATATTGTACGTAAAATAATTTATGTCAACATATATTACCTTAAAAAATGTGCAAAATATTTGCGGTTTCATTTATTTATCATAAATGCATTTTATTTTTGAAAATTACAAACGAGGGTTGTTCGAAACGACTTCGGAAGACAATAACATATTGTTGACATTTCATCCTTTCAAAATTTTATTAAAATCTAAGTAGTTGTTTAGAAATTACAGATTATCGAAATATTGTCGGCAGACTTACAAAACTATGTACATATATACATATACATATATATTCTTAGTCCTTGTTAGATACTACGATGTTCTAGCCATGTCCGTCCGTCTATTGTAGACTCCTAAAGGTAGGTGCTAATATAACATATTCTACATTGTTATTCAATTTTTGATCTTGAAAAAGGCAAATATCGGAATATGATATCACGCCCCATAAAAGTGCCCCGGAACACATATATCGATTATGATGTAATCGTTATAAAATCTCGTACAATTTAGTTTCATGTGAACCAAAATCTCTGAAAATCTGTTCATAATTGTCTTTGCCCCTTAAAATCAGTATGAAATGAATCACACTTTCAAGTTCTGTAAAGCTCGGTCCATAGTTCATCCTAGCCCCATTAAATGTCCTAAAACAATTTAGCATATTTCGAATACATCATTATATTGTGCCACAGTACTTGTGTTATCAAAAGACGAAAGGACTTTGTGCAGTTCAGAAGTGGTGATTTTAACACGGAATATCGCCCAAACGTTCAATAAGAGCTTATAAAATCATTGGGAGCTACGATGGGAGCAGCACTTAAAATTTTCTTTTTCGAGCACCGAATAATTACATACAATAAAAATAGATCAATTACGATAACCCGAAGAACCCGGCCAACCAGCCGAATCGACACAAAGGTCAAATATCCTTTTTGTAATGTTCTGTTTTTAGTGGCATCAAAAGGGTCCTTTAAGAGTCTTTTACGAGCAGCTCAAATCTGGCCAGACAATCACAGGAAACCTGCACCGAATGAAATTGATTCGTTTGAATCGAAAAACGATCAGAATATGCGGACAGACATAAAAGCGTGATATGTCATCATGACAACGCTCGGTCACATGTTGCAATAACTGTTAAAACTATTTAGAAAAAAGTGGTTAAGTTTTGCCTCACCCGTCGAAATTAGCTTGATTCATTTCTGGTCTCTAAGAACGAGCAGTTCTTTTGGCGCGAATTCCATATGACCTTTTAGTCTTCCGGGACTAGAGGTACCCAGGTGACAAATGTATCCTGGGTCTTTCCATATAATCTGGTATCAGGGGGTCCGGTAGCCCAGAGTTTCGGACATTGTTTTGTCTGTATTTCGGGATAACTTCGGTGCTGTAACCGCAAAAGACAATAGATAAATCGTAGAGGAGTGACTGTGGGAATAAGCGTTGGAAATGAGTTGGTGTCAAGTGTATATGATACGGTATGGATGTAGGGGCATACGGGTCTCACCCATCCGTATACTTAGAGTGAATGTATCAGATATATGAGAAGTGTGTTCGCTGTGAGTAAGAACTTATCTCTGACTTATTTGATGGTTTCGGATTTCGGTACACATCTCTAGGTGCTGTTACCAAATCAACAGAGACTATCACACCCAAATGGTTGCAACCGGAAGTAATGTTTTGCATTTCGGAGTCACGAACGGCGAAAACATGTACAAAAATTGCCTCCTGCGTGTGAGTAAAGCAAACAAAGAGGCGGTGGGGAGTCGTCTAACAGCTTCGTAGTGCTTGTAAAAGTGAACCGTAATTGTAGGTGTTCACGTAAAGCACTTCGACTTGTGTACAATCTTTTCAAAATAAAACCTCAGCTGGTTAAACCTCGTATATCTTTTTTAATATTTCTAACTCGCAATTGAAACAACAATATTTTTGTATGGTTTTGCTAAAAATAAAATCTTTAATGCAAAATGGTGAAATGAATTAAACCGCAAATATGTTTTTGTAATGTTTCAAAATACAATTTAAGTTTTTATTATTTTATTATATTAAATGATACCAAGTGTTTAGCATTTATTACCTTTTGAACACCCTACAGGAAATTAAGTTATAAATATCAAAAAAGCGGTAATAAGGGATTTTCCAAAACCATGTTGAAAATTCCTAATTCAACTAAATATTATGAAGTTGAAATATCATCGTTATTTATGGACGGATTTTGCTGATTTTAAGTAGGAAACATCTCGAAAGCATGTCTCACAGAATTATTAATTACTCGAAAGCATGTTTGCCGGAATTATTGATTTCAACAGACATACAGACAGACATGGCTTAATCGACTCCGCTATCTATAAGGATTAAAGATATTGTGGAAATTACAAACGCAATGACAAACTTATATATGTATACCCTTCTATCGAAGGTGAAGGGTATAATTAGTTAGTTAGCCAACCTCATCAACATCACGCCCATTCTGAACTCGCAGCTCACGCTCTCTATTGGTTGTTGGCCCTTTGAAGCGATTGCGTGGTCCACTTCCTTCTCTGTTTTCCAGATAGTCTTTTCTTAGTAATAGGTAGTTTAGCTATGCTATCACTCACCTGTTTCACCATTTGCCCTACTTCATCCTTTTTGAGATTTGCTATAATGGTGTTGTAATTATCTTCTGAGGATTCAGAGTCGGAACCCTCATCTATATTTAAAGGCTGAGGTAGCTTAGAGCTCTCTTCGAGTACATCCTTCTCTTTCACCCCTATGTTTTTGCTAATGGCATGCTGTACACTTGACGCATGTCCGCCACGGAGGCCAAGGTACCCACCTCGGTAGTAGTATTTTGCTCGCGATTGCAGGATGACGACGACACGTGACTGATACTGGGTATTTAGGCCCTGCACCGTAACTTTCATCTTTTTATTTTTATTTAGTTAGTTAGTTAGTTAGTTAGTTAGTTAGTAGTTAGTTAGTTAGTAGTTAGTTAGTTAGTAGTTAGTTAGTTAGGTTAGTTAGTTAGTTAGTTAGTAGTTAGTTAGTTAGTTAGTTAGTTAGTTAGTTAGTTAGTTAGTTAGTTAGTTAGTAGTTAGTTAGTTAGTTAGTTAGTTAGTTAGTTAGTTAGTTAGTTAGTTAGTTAGTTAGTTAGTTAGTTAGTTAGTTAGTTAGTTAGTTAGTTAGTTAGTTAGTTAGTTAGTTAGTTAGTTAGTTAGTTAGTTAGTTAGTTAGTTAGTTAGTTAGTTAGTTAGTTAGTTAGTTAGTTAGTTAGTTAGTTAGTTAGTTAGTTAGTTAGTTAGTTAGTTAGTTAGTTAGTTAGTTAGTAGTTAGTTAGTTAGTTAGTTAGTTAGTTAGTTAGTTAGTTAGTTAGTTAGTTAGTTAGTTAGTTAGTTAGTTAGTTAGTTAGTTAGTTAGTAGTTAGTTAGTTAGTTAGTTAGTTAGTTAGTTAGTTAGTTAGTTAGTTAGTTAGTTAGTTAGTTAGTTAGTTAGTTAGTTAGTTAGTTAGTTAGTAGTTAGTTAGTTAGTTAGTTAGTTAGTTAGTTAGTTAGTTAGTTAGTTAGTTAGTTAGTTAGTTAGTTAGTTAGTTAGTTAGTTAGTTAGTTAGTTAGTTAGTTAGTTAGTTAGTTAGTTAGTTAGTTAGTTAGTTAGTTAGTTAGTTAGTTAGTTAGTTAGTTAGTTAGTTAGTTAGTTAGTTAGTTAGTAGTTAGTTAGTTAGTTAGTTAGTTAGTTAGTTAGTTAGTTAGTTAGTAGTTAGTTAGTTAGTTAGTTAGTTAGTTAGTTAGTTAGTTAGTTAGTTAGTTAGTTAGTTAGTTAGTTAGTTAGTTAGTTAGTTAGTTAGTTAGTTACTTAGTTTGTTATGAATGTTATACCAGTAAGAAGTCATACAATACCTTGGAAATATTTTTCTTTAATTTTCCTTTAATTTTTTTACAAGTAAAAAGGACAAGGTAGACCCGTATTGTATATCAATGAATAGAATATTGGGTCTACTTTTTGGAAATATTTCGTTGCTAATAATGCAATTTTAAAGCTGACATGCCTCCGATTTCAAAATAACATTTTCGCACGACTTATTTCAATTTGCGCTTTGCTTAAGTCTCGAACTTAAAGATTTGGTCAAAAAGTGCGCGATTATCCAATTTTCGATTGCAGCTCACATTCTTGTTAAATATTTGATAGATGTAAACGTAGCTTTATATTCAAAGTCTTAAATTCAATATCATTCTTATATATATATAACAAACGCTTTAAATTTCATTTCACATTCACGTTCTACTTTATCTCCAGAGTTTATTTTTATTTTTCAAATATAAAATTTTCTTTAAATTTAGTATCAAATAAATATGTTTATGTTTCAATAGAAAGTAATTGCAAAAGTTTATCTTAACTGCAACAGACTTAAAATTTAATCACATGCAAAAATAATATTTGATGAAATACTCCATAAACTAAACATTACAAAGATCTAAAGACAATAAAGCATTTTTGTTTCACTTTCTATACTGTTCTGTCAAACTGTCCTGAAAGTATGTGTGTGTGTATCTAATAAAACATACGAAATAGACATTTGATGTCATTTTTATATTTGTGGCACAACGTTTAACAAATAAAAAATTAAAAAAAAAGAAAA